CTGAGTGTCTTGGAAGTATAATACAGCAAGGCTTAAACCTCCCTGCTGAGGAAAGGGCAATTTGACACTGAAACTACTGTTAAATCGCTATTGAAACACTGGTTTGCAAAAGAGTTCTTATTAGATAAGTATAGTTAAAGCCTTAAAAAGCAGGGGAAAATACACCCAAGTCATAGGAAAAAAATGGGGGAGAAAAGTCTTTAAAGTTGGACAGTATGTGTTGACAAAATTTGGAGATTTTAAAACATGTATCTACACATTTATTTTATAAATTGTACATAAGACTGGCTCCTTTTCCAGTGCAAAATCAAATATTTAGATTTGCACAAACCTATGGAAGCCAGATTTTAGACAAAAAGGGATTTTTTTGTCAGACTGTCAGTCTCTGAATTTCATCACAATCTGTTCAGCTGTTTTTGTTGCAGGCAGGCGTAAAACGTACTGGGTAAGTGTGTGTTTGTATTTATTATTAAAATGGGGACGCTAAATCCTGCTTTCGAACGGTCTTTACATTCTTTAAGTCTGCACTGGTCATAGAGAAGCAGAATCATAGTGTGTGTGTGTGTGTGTGTGTGTGTGTGTGTGTGTGTGTGTGTGTGAAAATCATACATGGTGGTGAGGGAGCGGGTACAATGTCAAGCGCCCATGAGCAGTGACTTTCTGCAAAATAAGTTTTTGAGCATTTTAAAAATGACCCTGGCATTTTGCCTCAATAACTTTTCCTGCACCTACAAGTACTGATTCTTGCCTTGAAGAGGGATGGGGAAATGATGTGTTGGTGGCGGATCTGAATATGTTTTATTTAATGTCATGATTTCTTTATCCCATCCTCTGCACTAATCTAAAAATAATAACGGGTTGACAGTTTCAACAGCAATTACTGTATATGTATGATCGTATGCCAAGATTGCCTAAAAGAATATTGACAATAGAACTTGAACCTCCAGTAGGTGAGACATTATAGTAAAAAACAAATATATCAAATCATACAGAATTTTGTTTATGAAGCAAATTCTTCCATCAGTCAGGGCTTTTTGATACATAGCACTTGCTGTACAGAACCTCACCTATTGGAAATGAGATGAAGCTGATATTTCCCATGGTGGCTCACACCTGAAATCCCAGCGCTTTGGGAGGCAGGTAGATTGCTTGACCCCAGGAATTCGAAACCAGCCTGGGCCATGTGGTGAGACCCCATCTCCAGAAAAAATACAAAAATTAGCTGGATGTGGTGGTGCATGCCTGTAGTCCCAGCTACTTGGGAAGCTAAGATGGGAGGATCACCTGAGCCCAGGTAGTTGAGGCTGCAGTGAGCTGCGATTGACTCACCGCACTCCAGCCAGACAGAGTGGGACCTGTCTCAAAAAAAACAAAAAAAAAAAAAAACCAAATGATATTACCCACCATAAATGAAGCTCTTTTGCAAAAAGATGATAACATAGTTGTTCCTAATCAGGATTTACTATGACAATGTAAACATTTATCTATTTTCACGTTTTAAAGATCTACAATAGAAATTTTACCTCTAACTGAGGATATTAGTCATCTATGGCTGCCATAATAAAATATCACGGACTGGCTGACTTAATCAGCAGAAATTTATTTCCTCACAGTCTGGAGGCTTGAGGTCTAAGCACTCCTTCTAGTTTGAAGATAGCACATTCTTGCTGAGTTGTCACATGACCTCCCTTCATGTGAGCGGAGGAAATATCTCTGGTGTCTCTCTTCCTCTTCTTATAAGGACAGTGGTCCCATTGGATTAGGGCCCCACCCAAATTACCTCACTTAACCTTAAATACCCCCATACAGAGTCTATCTCCAAATACAGAAACAGTGGGGGTTAGAGCTTCAATACGTGCATTTTGCAGGGTACAACCCAGTTTATAACACTGGCATAAACGCACAGGCTCACTGGAGCTCTGGGTCTCCTGCTTCTGGCTAGCTTTAGATCAACTCAGTGTAAGAGTCATCTCTATGTTCTGATCAGAAGTTCTAATTTGGAATTTTTTATATTGATATTTAAACATATATGAGAAAAATGAATGCTTGTTGCTCTATAAATGTGGTTTGGCGGACAAATTATTTCTAAACATAAGGTCTTTGAAGAAAAAATAATTAAAGGAATTCTTGGTGGTTAAAAGGGGTTGAGAGTCACTGGAGAGTCTACTACCTGCCTGCAGAGGTAAATTCAACCAGGGAGTCCCTTGAGATGGCATTCAGCGTTCAGATCTGAGAGTCTGTGTCTGAGTGGGAAAAAACAGACTGTTTCTTCTCTGCTGTCATACCACAACAATCAACACAGATGACTTCTGTGGCCAAATGTGTGTGGGGTTCCTCTCACCCCTCTACACCAAGCAAGCCATCAATTCTGCAGGGGACATCAGCTAGGTGTCCTCTGATTCAATTCAATCTCAGCACGGTTGGTCTGGAGATAGCGACAGACCCCATAGGGTGAGGGCACTGCTGCAAGACTGCTCCCACTTCCAATGCCAACTGCAAGCCCCAGGTTATTTTGCATGTGCTTTAGATGCACTGGCTATAAATTGGGGTTCCTATGACCCCCTTCTTGGATTCAATTAATTTGCTAGAGTAGCTCACAGGACTCAGGAACACTTTACTTTGACTTACTGCTTTATTAGAAAGGATATTACAAAGAACACAGATGAAGACAGGCATAAGGTGAGGTACGGGGTTAGAGGTATGCGAGCTTCCATGCCCTGTCCAAGGACATCAGCCTCCAGGAAACTCCATGTGTTCAGCTATTTGGACGCTTTCCAAACTCTTTAGTTTTTTGAGTTTTATGGTGGCTTCATTACCTAGGCATGATTGATTAAACAAATGCCCATTGCCCATTGGGGATCAGTTTAACCTTCAGCCCTCTTCTATCCCCAAAGTTTTGGGGGGAGTGGGGCAGAAAGCTCCAATCCTCTAATCTTGCCTTGGTCTTTTCTGTGACCAGCCCTATCCTGAAGCTACCTAGAGGCAGCCAGTCAGTGAATTCAATAACATGCTTTGGAGATTCTAAGGATTTTAGGAGTTTTATGTCAGAAAATGAGGTCGAAGAAAATATATGTTTTGCAATAACAACCTATGAATCGAGTTGTTCTTATGATACAATTATATGTGAAGAATTATATGGAATAGAGAACCCATTGAAATATAACAAAGTAGTTCTCCATCCACATTTTTATTGCTACCAGATTTACAGAGAATAATACAAGTCCCAAGCCTGGCTGTATATTTGAAGAAGAGTGGATGTCTGGATGCTCACCCATCCCATTTCCTCTTCTGGGGGCAGCCAGGGAGACTCCATTTCCCAGGCTTCTTCAGGCAGGGCTATGTGACTAAGTCCTAGCCAATTGGAAGTGGATGGAAATGATGTACAGCAGTTCTAGGACTGGCTATAAAAAAACTGTGATTTTTTTTTTTTTTTCATAATCTTTCTTCTCCTTCAGTAGCAACAATGGAGGCCATGTATTGAAATCATTCTACATGAATAACCTGAGTTTCATAGTTATCACTTGAAAGAAGCATTCGGAAAAACTCTTTGATTTTGGGGGGAGCAAGAAATAAACTTTATTGTGAATCCACTGAAATTTTGGGGTTGTTTGATGCAATAGATAACATTAATTGTCTTTATTAAAATAATACTAAGAAAAAAATTTTAAGAATTTTTGACAGCAACCTGTTTTATCTATTGAAAGATACATACTGTTTAAGAAATACTGTTCAAAAATACAGAATTTCCTTTTGCCTAATCATCTGAAGAAGTCAAATGAATGTTGTTGTTATCATGGGATCACTTTTATCTCCCTCAGAAAGATTCTGGTCAGAATCTTTCTAAATTGACTATTGGTTATTATTTTCCTCTAGGCACACCCACAAATCACAACAGGGCTTCAGGCTTCAACCTATTCCATCTTTGATACTATCAAATGCTGGGAAAATTGATTTAAAGGCCCTGATTAGATGTCACCTATATTTTCCCCTTTCCCCTAAAATACAGCCTGCTGAAAACTCTATATCTTCTGAATTCCATTTGTCTGTGAAAAACATCGTGTAGCTCAGGTTGTGCCTGATGTACCTATCCTATGAATTTGCAGTGGCTGCTGAGAGCACTGTGTTGTGAAGGATTCAGAGGTGGTGACTGAGTTTATTAGAATTCTCTTTGTCTGTCAAAGGCCAGAGAGTGGGGACAGGCTCTTGTATCACATCATTGCCATTGCTGGCTAACCCTGCGTTTCAGAATATTAAATGCAGTGTCTACCTTGGTTAGCGTCCAGTCCTGTTAAAAATGGTGAAACCCATCTAAGGCCATAGCCTTGATCCAATAACTGCTGTTCTATTGTGCAGCAGTTTGTTGCTATTTTTGGAGCTGTGTTAATTTAGGTGAGACTTACATTAATTATTGGACTCATCTCCAATCATCATTGAAGATGACATTGTGTAGTATCTGCTGTATAGGGTTTAGAGATCATGAACATGCTAACAGATTCTGTGCCTTCTATTAGAATGCCAAAGGTGATGGTAGGTTTTAGTAAGTGAGCATTATCATAGACTATTGATGGGGGTGTACATTGCCATACATTTTCTGTAGTACGATCTAGTTATATGTACCAAAATGTAAAATATATCTACATTTTGACTTAGTAACGCTGCTTTTCGGACTTTATCCTAAAAATAGAAGTAAACTTTTACATATAAGGATATCAATTACAGCCTTGTTTTTAGTATCAATATTCATCATTAAAGGACTGGTAGAATAAATTATAATATATTCATGTGATGGAACCGTATGGAGCCGTTTAATTCGATAAGGCCAACCAATAAGGCATGAAAAGCTATTCTTGATACAATGTAAAATAAAGAATTCAGGTTGTAGAACAGCTTGCACAGTATTAGTTTGTCTAACGTGCAGCTCATAGAGAAGTGCATATTATTCTATCTAGTGTATTTATAAAAGACTTTTATGATAAAATATCATAGACAGCAAATGCTGGAAGTACATATTCCACATGTTAAAAAGAGACTCCATCTGGATACAAGCTGTACACGACCGAAGGCAGAGGACCCGTGGCCCATGGAGCAAATCTTCGAACTGTCTCCGTCCACCTCCCGCCTTGATTTGTGACCCTAGACCCTTTGGGACTCATCTGACCCAGCTAGCCAGATCCCGGACCCAAACCACGTTCCCCGTGAAGGTGGAGAAGCCAGAGCTGGAGATGGCCAAAGCCCAGAACCAACTGGACGCCGTCCTGCAGTGTCTGCTGGAGAAGAGTCACATGGACAGGGAGCGTCTGGATGAGGAAGCTGGGAAAACCCCCTCAGGCACCCACAATAAGGACCGCTCCATCGCAGCCACTGGCAAAAGGCCTTCTGCCCGCTTCCCCCATTGGCGGAGGAAGAAGAGGGGAATGGATGACGGGCAGGCTGGGGGAGGGCCACAGCGATCCAGCACCTATGTGATTAAGCTGTCGGACCGGAGCGTGGACTTGGCCCACTTCATTGAGAACACGCCGCTCTACCCGGTCTGCAGTGTCTGGATGTGAAACAGCGAGCGTGAATGCTCTCCCAGCTCACCCCTGCCCTCACTCCCTGAGGATGAGGAGGGTTCAGAGGTCACCAACAGCAAGAATCGGGATGTGTACAAGCTGCCGCCACCCACAGCGCCCGGGTCACCCAGAGATGCCTGCAGATCCCGCATCCCATCTCCGCTGCAGCCTGAGATGCGGGGCACCCCGGATGACGAGGCAGAGCCTGAGCCCTCCACACTGATCTATCGCAACAAGCAGCGCTGGAAACGCATCAGCCACAGGTGGAAGGAGGCCTCTCATTGGAGCCAGCTTCGTTATTCAGAAAGCCTGAAGATCCTACGGGAGATGTATGAGCGACAGTAATGTTCCCAGCTCCTGCCCTCCCACCCCAGTAAACGTCTCCCAACTCCACAAGAAAAATAAATAAATAAAAAAGAGACTGCATCTGTAGGGTAGGATGGAAGCAAGGAAAGCGGCATGGTTGAGGCAGCTGTACATTGTATACTGCATTGTTCAATTCTTTTCAATTACCTTTTTATCAGCAAAAGCAGTATAATTATTTTGAGAAGAATAAAAGAAACATTAGAAGCTAACAATTCCTTTATTTTCTCTAAGATAAAATCCTAATGCAAGAATTCAAAACCGTGTAGAAGATGCATAGATTCTCCTAACATATATATATATATATATATATGTGTGTGTATATACATATGCATGTATGTATGTATATATATATGTATGTGTCTGTGTGTGTGTGTGTATATATATATATATATATATATATATGTTAGGAGAAGGAGGTGTAGGAGTGGGCCACATGGAGAGCTGGGGAAAGCTCTGGAGGTGCAAAGATCTGAGGTGCTCCAGGCATGTGTGAGTAGAGCAGAGCGAAGGATGAAGGGTAGCAGGCAGCGCGATCAGAGAGGTGTAGGGCTGGGGGCAGATCACACAGGGCCACATAGGACAGAGTAGAGATATGAGCTTTACCTCTGCAAGAGATGGGGGTCGCTGATAGGTTTAAGTGGAAACATGACATTACTTGACCAACATTTAAACATGATCTATCTCCATTAGGTTGAAAATAGCCCGAAGAAGGGTGGGGGCAGAAGTGGAAGGACCAGTTAGGAGGCTCTCACATTCATCCAGGTGAGGGATAACGGTGACTTGGAACAGAGTGGCAGATATGGGAAAAACAAGACGCTTTCGCTAACTCTGTGACCTTGGGTAAATTGCTTAACCTCTCTGCATCTCATTTCTTCATCTGTAAAATAGGAAGGTAGTAACAGATTGAACCATATGACATTGTCATTTTGGTAGGTCAGAAATGGTCAAATACTAACACTTTCGTATGGCTCACCTCTAGGCCATACTGTATTTGTTGCTATGAGGATTAAATAAACTACTACAAGTAAAACACTTAGAGCCGTGTCTGATGCGTTTTAATACAAAGTAAATGTGAGTTGTTACTGCTCTTATGATTATCAGCACCTTACATTTTCAACATTATTTCACATTCCTTTTCTAATTCAGTCCTTGTGACAGTTTAGTGGGACAGGCAGGGCAGGCAGCATCAGCTACATGCTCAAAAGAGCCTTCTGCAGCACTTTAGAAGGTGTCTGTTCACACATCATGCCATTTGAGTCACAGAACAACCCCCTGTGGTATGTAATGCATGTATTCAAGTCTGCTTTGTGTATTTAAATAATGAAATGATAAGAAAATAAGTAATTCGTACATGTTTGAATTATTTCCCCAAATAATTAGGAATAAAATTGTTATGTGTTACCCTCACGTGGATATCTTAATTGATGAGATGCATGAAAGCAGAGTTCGGAGCTCTTGATCTTTAAGATCCAGTTCAATGATCATGTGCTGCAGGCTCCAGAGCTCTTCGCTCCCATCTGTTAGTAGAGAGAGCTGCTCCATGAACAGTACATGTGGTGTTCTTGTCTTTCAGTTTGCGTATCCTGTCGCCTCTGCTTGGACTCCCTGTTTTTCTCTGATTTCTGCACGCCTCATAGAGTATCATCAGGCACAAAGTGGCTGGCCAGTAAATGGTTAAAAAATGAACAAGGAACTAAGTAAAGGAATGAGTGATTATTCTCTGGTTTATTTACCAGGAAACCAAGACCCTGGATAGTGAAGTGAACTGCTTAATTTCAACACAACTACTAAATGAATTAGCCAAGAGTCATGCCCAGGTGGTGGAAAATCATGTCCAGAATGCCATCCAATGTGGCATGAAACATCAGCCCAAAATGAAGCCGTAGGTGTGCTCAGCTTGGAGTGTGCCTACAAGATGAAAACCCACCCCAGATGGCATATCCAATTTAATCAACATCACCTGTGAGCCAAACTGAACAGTAAATGTTAAGACAGGATCACTAATAATGGGGACCTGGAATGTAGCCAGAATTAAAACAATGATCTGCTTAACAATCCCTCTGGGCTGGATGCATGCGGAGAACGGATAAATGCTGGATATCGAAACAGCTGCTCTATGGCAAACTGAAATGGGGCAATCATAGATAGCAAAGGGAGAAGAAACACTTGAAAGTTGTCTTAAATAAAGTAGCGCTTTAAATAATGTGTGACCTGGCTGTGGCCTTTAAGAAGCAACCACCACACACACACTATCCTGGTGTGCCTCTCTAGAGAATGAGGTGGCTTTGGGTGAACAAAGCCTATGGAAGTAGAAAAGGCAATGATGACTGGTGCCACCCATCCCGATACACAGATTGTATTAATCCAAACTAACACTTGGAATCACCTTGGAACACAAAGGCCTGTGTTCCAAATTAAAATCCCATGGTTCACCACTTCCTGAGCTTTGCCTCCTAAATGTGACCATTTTCTACAAATGCCATGTAGCCATTGCATAAATCCTATGTCTTTCATATACTGTCTATTGTCTAATTATTTTAAAATTATAATTACATGGTGTCTTCTCATCAGGGTCACAAATTGCCTGAGAACGGAAATCAAAGTTGATGTTCAAAAATACATGATCACCAGCATGGCACAGGCCAAGAACAACCAGACTGCTGGTTTGTAACACCATCCTGGCTGGTCCAGCCATTGCCCTGCTTCCTTTGGGTTGATGACTTTACACTAGAAAGTATAGTAGGACTGTAAACATACAGTGTTCCTGGAAAGGGCTTCTTGATTGATTGATTCCCCAAGTTCATTTTTATACTTGTCTGTCATTTGGGGAGATCCCATATCAGTGTGTAATTTATCATCCATACAACTGTATTAAAATAAGCATGCTAATTACAGATCTAGGAGTAGGGACTGAAAAAAAAAAAAGGCAGGCAAACAAGTAAAGAATCAGTTGTTAAAAAATTTTTTCATGTATTTAATAATCATTTTGAAATGCATACTCTGTGTCACTGTGCTGATCCTCGGGAATGCAGATAAAAAGAATGCACTTACTTATGGAACATATAGATGAGTAGAAATACACATTTCACCACTGCTACCATCAACTATAATATGTCCAAATGTTTTAAGAATAAGTTGTTATCTTTTTTTATTGATACATAATATTTGGACATATTTATGGAGTACATGTGATATTTTGTTACATGCACAGAATATGTAATTATCAAGGCAGGGTATCTAGAATATCCACCACCTCAGGTACTTATCATTCCTATTTCTTGGGAACATTTCATGGCCTCTCTTCTTGCTGTTCTGGAAGGTACAATACATTGTGGTTAACTATAATCATCCCCATTCTAATATGCAACATTAGAGCTTATTTCTTCAATTGAACTGTATATTTGTATCCATTAACCAACATTTTTTATCTTCCCCCATTATAATTGTTTTAACAGCTGCAAGATCACTATGGAGTCGGTAAGCATAGTTGAATTTCATGTATATAACCATCAGATCATCTCCTGCAAACTTCCTGGTGCAGGAATTCTTATCACAGCTTCCCTGAGAGGAGGTTAGCAGATTTGACTATTCACAATATTTGAGAGAGAGGCTATTGCCTCATAAAGGAAGCTACATGTTTTTAATAGAAAGAATGTTCACATTTTTAAAAAGCAGTTTGCAGGATATTCTATAATTGTGGATTTTCCCTACATGCTCTTCTCTAAACTATTTACTATGAATTTAGGTAAACTGCCTCTTCAGATCCAAGAGATTTTTAACTTATAACCAACATGTCTTCTGATTTTGATCCTTAAGCAGGAATTATCAAGTGTAACTTTCACTAAATCTCAATAGCCATAGGATTACATCTGATGAAAGGGTATTTATATAGCAGGAAAATTTCAGGGAAGCAAAGGAAAATTTCATCCATTTCTTCTTGCCTCATTTATTTCAGTCTTTTGATCCCAGTTGGTGAGTTGTTCACTAACCAGTTCATTTAGATTATAACACAAACTTTCTGCATCTTTAACCATTTTGACTTGGTAAACATTTTATTGGGTATCTACTGAAATCTGTCTTAGAATAGATATAGGCCTACTATCCCAACTCTCAAGGAGCTTATAGTCCAATGAAGAATGGTAGAAATGTAGACAAATAAGAACAACACAGTGTTGTAAACACCTGCGAGAGGGCATGAGCAGAAATCAAAGGGCACCACCAAGAAAGGAATGGCCAGTTCTCTTTTTCTATGTGCACTAGCCTTGGCTGAGATTACGATGTTCTGATGAGAGAAGAAAACAATTGTTTTCAACCTATGAGGCAGGTATCTCTGGGACGTAGCTTGTATGTAGATCCTTATAGGTAGATCATTTAATTAGGATGCTTTTCTCTGTAGCTTTCCCATGGATATTTTAGGATTCATAGTGATAGTTTGAGTATGTTCCTAAAGAACAGTCTTGACTAGATTTCCAACAATTCATAAGGTCTCAATGGAAAAACTATTGAAAATCACGTAAACTACCATAACATAGCATTTATAGTGATATATCTGTATCTATAAATGTTTATCTATAGAGAAGCACTTCATTATCTGAAGAAAATACAGGTGACAAGATGAGAGTGATCACAAATACTTTCCACCACCACCACCTCCACATTCCAGGTTATTTGTTTTGAGCCTGGTCTCTGAGATACCTTCTAGGTGACCGAAATAATTTATCTTGTCTCTCTGACATTGTTTGGTGTTGCTACCAATTAAACTCCAACTGTAAAGCAGCTTTGTAAGAACACTGCAGTGTCACATTACAGAGAACAGATGTCAAAATTAAGGTTCACTAATTTGAAGCAACTTACATAAATAGAACCTCAGGTATGTCTGTGACCACAAGAGGAGAAGAAGCAATTGCATTTTGTGCAGTTGAATGGTACCAAGGACAGGCTCTTTCCTTGATATGCCAACAGAGAGAATTTTGTTAGCAGTATTCTGTGAACAAAACACTTAAGAGAATGTATGTATACAATAGTTT